CATTTCTTTATTTCATTAGGTTGAAGGTGTAGAACATAGAATTACCTATGAATTTCCTAGATAATACCCAGAAAATAAATAAATGCATAAAGCATTCTGTAGCAAGTCTTAAAGATTGATTCAGCAATTTGGATAAACACCCAGTCTCTTACCCAATAAGCAGTCACAGGTTCCCTTTTTTCATTTTCTTTACAATAAACACAATCAAATTTGAACCAATTTTCTGATATTCATTGTTGTGCCCATAAATAGGTATCTAAACTGAGTGTACTATTGTTCTTCTAGAAAGAGAGACTTTGGATTTTTCAACCTGAGCACCATCTCAGGTGACACATGGTCTAAGTGACTAGCTCAGAGATTCTTAAGGTTCGAGTATAGCTGTCCCTAATATTGGGCTACTGGTCAGAGGTAGTCAGTCAGCAATACTTACCATCACATGATCTTTGAATCAAATAATGGGAATGACTGTCACTTTTATAATGTCCTCACAGATGAAAGTGTAGAGCATGTTCAATGGCATATCATTTATAACCTTGGACCCCCCTGTGATCTACAGCCCAATGTTCTAACTACTACGTCATGCAAGACTTAGCACATCTTAATACTCATATACAATGGTTCAAAGTATATTCTGACTGAGGCCTCTTAATGAGCAGCTAAAACCACAAAAAGGGTTTTAAACATTAATGAATGATGTACTTTAGAATCATCCTGGGACACGTACATCAGTCTTTGGTTGTAGCATATCTTGGTGTTCTATGTACTTTAGAATCATACTGGGACACGTACATCAGTCTCTGGTTGTAGCATATCTTCGTGTACTATGTACTTTAGAATCATACTGGGACATGTACATCAGTCTCTGGTTGTAGCATATCTTGGTGTTCTGTGTACTTTAGAATCATACTGGGACATGTACATCAGTCTTTGGTTGTAGCATATCTTGGTGTTCTATGTACTTTAGAATCATACTGGGACACGTACATCAGTCTCTGGTTGTAGCATATCTTGGTGTTCTCTGTACTTTAGAATCATACTGGGACATGTACAATCAGTCTCTGGTTGTAGCATATCTTGGTGTTCTATGTATTTTAGAATCATACTGGGACATGTACATCAGTCTCTGGTTCTAGAATATATTGATGTTCTATGTACTTTAGAAACATACTAGGACATGTACATCAGTCTCTGCTTGTACCATATCTTGGTGTTCTATGTGTGCATAGTAAATTCAGAACTTGCTTAGCACATAGTAACAAGGCATCATATTGGTTCAACATTTAAGTCGGATATACAAAACTGTAGATTTAGTGGTTTCTCTAAATAGGTTGCATTAATTACAAAAACAAAAATTAAGAACTAATAAATGTTAGGATTTTTTTTTACATAAGTCAGTTACATCTACCAATTGCACATCATTGTACTACATGTGCAACATAGAAAAACAATAGCAGTGTTCATTCTCTAGTTTTATATGCAGTTTTCTGGACTGATTACTCTTTCTGATGGCATATTCTAATGTGTTTAGGTAATATAATTAACCTTAGTTTAAAATATTAGATGGGATAAACCCCCCACCCTTCCCAGTGGTGGTATATATGACTGTTTTGTTTAATAAAATACAAAACAAAGGTGGAAAACATTGATTACAAGTTTATTCATAACTTGAAATGTGTTACTTTGATCACAAAAACTTTGGTGGCATCAAAAACACCTATTTCCTAAATATGTATGGTAATTCCTATAATCTTTGTAAAAAGTGCAGTTAGATATACTTCCATTACCACATCAAAAATTCTGATTTTTGGCAATAAATATGAACTTTCTTCAATGATAAACACAGTTGAAAATCCTTTCATTACAGCTTCCAATGAACTAGTTAAAAACAGTACAACTGTGAGGGTCAGGAGGTCTAAGCCACTTTGGTTTGTAGTAAAATTAATATTTAACAGAATGAAAATATACATTAATTAACTAAATAGCCCAAACCTAAACAATGAAAACCTTGAAGCCAAAAAAAAAGTCTATCAGTTATTTACAAAATGTAAATGTAGTGCTTATGTGAAGATAAAAAATAATGCAGAGAAAAACAAAACAAAAATGCCTGTGAAGGGTCCAAAAACATAACAAGCCTTAATGTTACATAGAACAAACTACATTTATTATGAGAAAATGTTTAGATTATTAGAAATGCTTAGATATCATATGTACATTTATTTTGAATAAATTCTGTATTAATACTTCAGAAGATATAATTATTAATTATTCCATGATAGTAAAAACAGATCAGAAAGGTTAGTCAATTAAATTTTAATAAAACAAACAAATAAAACTTAATAAAACCCTAGAACTTTTGGTTTGGCAGGTAGTTCCATCTGTTGAAAACACTAGGATTTTATAGTTTTGTTTTCAATATAATTATTATGTCAGTAAAATGGGAGATGTATTGTGCATGTTACAAGATGTATAAATATAAAATTAAAAATAAAACAAGTAAATACAAAGGTATTATTGTATTTAAAGACAAGCATTTTTATATTTGAATGGTTTAAATTATTACAAAAAAATTATATGAAAGATAACACACATTTCCATGTGAATTATTACACATATTTTTGTCATTGTTCGTAATTTCCAGTACACATAAATCTATTTTTAATTTACTTTGATACTTTTAGTTCCAATTTATCTCAAACTTTGTTATTACAGATTAATTTTCCATAACTTGTTAAGTATTTAGTACATATTCACAGTTAAAGACAAGAAAACACAAGCTTTCAGTGTTCTTTAATGTCAGGGAAATGATAAAAATAAAAGCAAAGTAACTTAGATGTGTAAAAAGCATGTCAAGGTATACAACAGTGTTTGACCCCCCCCAAAAAAAACTTCAAAAAACTGTCACCCTAAACTTATTTCTTTAGAAACTGAAAACTTGTAATAACATTAGAATGTGATTGATACTGATAGGTATATGATTGATACCTACACATTCAACTACGTTTATTCAAATAAACTTTCAGATCCAGTACTAGTAATGTTATTAGTATAATTTGATAACAGTTGAATAGAGATCAATAAGTAGATATCCTATTTACTGACTAAGTAACAGTGATGTTTTAAGAGTCTTAAGGAATATTTATCACTAAACAGAAAACAATGAAATAATTTAAATCATGACTCTTGCAAGCCTCATTTCTACTACAAAATACCTGAATATATTTTCTTCTCCACGTACAAACTGTATTCTACAGAATATTATTTTTGTTTACATCAAGGCAATGAGAAGATTATACAGCTTTATTCCTCCAAAATTCTAAATATAATTTTCACCCACAAAACTTTTTTAAAGCTACGTCAATCCATCCAAGTATTCAGTTTCTAATAAAGCATGGTTAAGTTTTCTGGGCAACATTTTGATTTGTTTAATGAAAGCTAGTGATGGTTAAAATTACAGTTCTCAGCCAATATGCTTTTTTTTTTAATTATTTATTTTCATGTTGAAAATTGTTAAAGAAACTGAGTGCTATAATTAACTGTAAAGCAGAACAGTCTCATATATTCTTTTCACTACAAACTGCTAAAGTTGGACTTCTGGATGAAATCTAGACCAGGTCAACTTACTTACTCAAAAGTACATTTAATTGTATCAGGTAGCATCTTATGGTATTGATCTGGTAACATCCGATCATAATGAAAATTGATGTTTTAAACTTTTGGAAGTTGATATTACAGTGCAAGTTCTTGCCTGCTATATATTTACATTAAGATGATCAACGATTACATTTCTATAACAACTATATTAAAATACTTTTGTTCTATTTAAATTACTGCTATACATTAGATGCTGATTTTACAAAATATATACTTATACACTGAAAGAAGGATGAAAAAATTTAAATATGGATTGTGTTTTAATGTTAGTTGAAAGTTAACAGTCACCATTTTCCAACTAGAATCATGTTACAAGACATCATGCCAGACGCGAGCCTGGACAATCTAGTTACTAAGAATTGCTTCGATACTGTAGATTTGTGAAGAAATCTCCAAATCCTCATTAAATGTATACATTTATTTCCTAACTTTTACATATAATGTATAGCAATTATTCATAACATGAGATTTTTTGCTCCCTCTCTGTCCTTCCTACCTTAGTTGCTACTTTGTTATCTGGTTTCCTTTTCTGATAAAACTTTATGCTGCTGACATTCTGTATGTAATTTTTTAAAACAGGATAACTTCTTTTGCTTTCAATAGGTCTACATAAAGTTTGTGCTGTCAGAACTAGTTTACATACAAATAGGAGACTTGGACACACGTATACACTCATTGGCCATGGTCTACATTCATTCTTATCACTGCCTTTTATAAAAGTTTTTAAAATTATATTTATAAACAATGTGATCACAATCTGTTGTAAGTATGAAATATCCAATGTAATGGTAAACAGCCAAGACAAACAATAAATTACAAATCTTATATTTCATCTGCATTGGAATTTCATCACAAAAAGATGATGTATTTAGTTAGATTATGAACTCTTGGAAAGGACCGATTTTCTACGTAGTACCTTCCACATTGGCAAAACACCTAAGTAACCTGTCAATCAGTGGGGCCTGGACAACTTTGGCTACATGGCCTACGCCAATGTCTTACACATATAAAGAAACACAACAGTACAGTAGGGGGGGAAAGAGACCAAACAAAAGACTCGTCCTGGGTCTGAACATTTCTGTGGGTGGCACTGGTTCTATGTTATTATTTTTATTTTTGAGATTTTATTTCTATTTAATTCTGCACAAAGAACATTATCACCTGTTATAGGTTGAAGATAGCCTTCAATCACTTAAGAGAAAGAAGAAAATATCAACTTAATTTCTAGAAGTTTTTTGTTTTTATTTTCTTGAAACTCCCATTTTCACACCAGAATGTAGTAGATATAATATTTATCTAAATGTAATTAATATTTTACACAATACAGGTCTAGTATCTGTATCATCCATTTAGTAAGTATTCACTGGAAAAAAAATCTGTTGCATGTTCTACAAACAGATCGTACAGGTGCACCATTCTTCCTTCAGTTCCTCTGCTGAGACTGGGGTCTCATCCCATTTGGCAAAGCTACAGGGGCTAGTAGAACCAAAGTACAATCCAGAAGGAGTTTGAACGTGAAGGATGTCATAAAGAGAGATATGCACATCATAATCACTACCTCACTTCTTTTCTCGCTGGAGATGATTGGGTGCATCGGCAAACGTAAACTTTAGCTGGTAGGCCTCTGCAACAAGCAGACTTATCTCCTCATCTCCCCAATTTAAAGTGGGTAGGTTCTGAAGCATTAACATGATACCCTGGGAATAAAAATATATATGTGATGAATAAACATAAAAATAAGGTATGAAAACACAAATTGAAACATTAGAAAAAGATCAGTTCTGATAAGATTTTGTTCCCTAATTCTAAAAAAAAAAACTATTATATCCTGTACAATTATTTCTTGAATGATACAAAAAAATACTTTTAACTGAGAGAAACAATAAACAATGCATGCAAAATAAGCAAATTTATTAATTTGTCTTAAACACCATCACAAATCATCTTAATCATTTGTTTACTGATATTAGTGCATTAAGTACCTACTATTTTACATTAGGTCACATTCCTTACTAACATTGGTATGTTTTGGCAGAACTAAATCAAAATTAATTAAAAAAATGTTTTTCTTAAAATAAACAAGAGGCATAAATCTAACATGTTGGTCATATGTCTCTTTGATATCTTGGCAATATGAAGGTTTATAGATTGTATATACTATCAAGACAAGTAGACCATACAGGCTTATAGGTATTAAATGCTTCAAAACTATTTTTCAGCAAACTTCAAGTAACATAACAATGAAATACCAAAAAAAATACATCCTTTAATCGGGCAGAAAGTTTGGATCTTGGATAAAAGTTGATTTTTGAGAGAGATTATGTACTGTCACATAAAAACTACATTTGTATGCTATTTTATTTGCACTTGGTATTAGGCAATAAAAAAAAATCATATGAAGACATGCTTCAAATCTATAAAATTACCTAAACAATGGAATAGCTGGTCAGATGTTAACACAGCTGTTCAAAGAACACAGCAACCTACCTGAAAATCTTTCTCAGCCAGAAGGTCTCTTGACCAGTGTTTTAAAAAGGCTGCACACACATACAAGTGAAAGGTTGAGAATCCATCAGTTTCTGACTGTATAAAAAAAGTTAGAAGTCTGAATTATAGAGGAATGTAAATGTTTTTTAAACACAATAAATTAGCTTCCAGTAGAAGGTTACACATATAAGAATAACTAAGATATTTACAGATGCTTACCAAGTAAGTATCCCACAGTCTAACGGTACACTTCAAAGGAAGTTCCCTCATCAACAAGTTGTTCATCCACCGAAAAGAGAACTGTGTTGACCTTAATCTCCTAATTGTTTTTATAGCCCCCCTACACAACCATTTAGAGCATCACTCAGTGGAATACTTAGCTGATTATTGAGAAAGAAAGTAACAGTGTATGATAGTAGAAAAACTCAAACTGTAAGAGAACTGTAAGTATTCCACTGAGTGATGCTCTAAATGGTTGTGTAGGGGGGCTATAAAAACAATTAGGAGATTAAGGTCAACAACTGATAGTAGAAAAACTCAAACAAGTATTCAGTAGCCAAGAAATACAAATGCTATTTGGAATAGTTGTTTAAAGATACTAGCAATATAAAGATTTCTGGTCAAAATATTTAGTATTTGAAGAAGCCGAATGGTGTTTCATGATGATATTCATTGTTTATTGAAACAGTGAGGATTTGTGAAGAGAATATTCAACAAAAGTTGTTTCAATGGTCTTTATTTCTCATGTTAATCTGAACTCTAAAGTCTATATAGGCTTACCATCTGACATTGTGAGAGTTACTAGTTGCATGTTATGCAAGTGCATAAATTTAAAATGAGCCTCATGAAAATGTTTTCCTGTGTTGCCTATTCTTAGTGTTCCTCTCATAGAATGAGTCAATAGGTATAAATAGAAAGTCTGTTTCACTCATGTAAATGCTAGAACAGGTAGCTAGTATACACATTTCCAGGTGTCCTTCTTGGATAACAAGATCTTTACTATGGGTAAGTAAGTTGTGTTTTTTGTAGTTTATATATTACTCTGATGCTCCAAAGTGTAAGGATCCTTTTGTTTCGTTCAGATATCTTTTGTACTTATGAAATTGTTATGGTATATGAAGGCTTACTTCTGTTAGCGTTTTTACAGCATCTAATAACGGCTTCTTTATGATATTTATAAAGAAGCTGAAAGGATATTAATTTTGAATGGAGACTCAGTATTTAAGCTGCTGTTTTTTAAGAGCTTTACCAGAAGAAAATCTAGAAGCTTGTGCAGTGATAATCTGTACTTACAAACATGCAACTGGTGATTTTCACAATATCAGTTGGTGTTAAAACTTGCAGACACTAGTAAGTTCAAAACGACACAATTAAATCAGACATCATTCCCACAACTCTGGTTCGATATACTTTTAAACTTAAATTCCATCTCCCAAACTGCTCAGTTCCCACAATTAAAATTCAAGATATTTTTTATTAACAAACTTTCCTACTCTGTAGTATTTTTTTTTTCCACTCAAATTTGAATTTTGCAAATTCTTACAATTTTCATTGGTTTCCAGCTTACTCTGGGGCAGTAACAATGTCTTACACATGAACGGTAACTCTGTCTCAGTGCAACAGATCTCTGAACAACTCGAAATTAGGTAATCATGTAGACAACTAAGTATGACAATGATACTATACTGAAGTTAGTATGTACCTGTATGTTAATCAATCCAAATATATCATTAGTATGTGTTGACATGTATGTTAATCAGAGTAAATATATCATTAACGTGTGTGGACTTATATGTTAATTAGGGTAAATGTGCACAAACCTGTATGTTCATCAGAGTAAGTATATCATTAATGTGCATGTACCTGTACATTAAACAGAATAAATACATCATTAGTGTGTGTGGACAGATTTGTTAATCAGAGTAATGATATCATTAATGTGTGTGGATATGTTTGTTAATCAGAGTAATGATATCATTAATGTGTGTGGATATGTTTGTTAATCAGAGTAATGATATCATTAATGTGTGTGGACATGTTTGTTAATCAGAGTAATGATATCATTAATGTGTGTGGATATGTTTGTTAATCAGAGTTATGATATCATTAATGTATGTGGACATGTTTGTTAATCAGAGTAATGATATCATTAATGTGTGTGGACATGTTTGTTAATCAGAGTAATGATATCATTAATGTGTGTGGACATGTTTGTTAATCAGAGTAATGATATCATTAATGTGTGTGGACATGTTTGTTAATCAGAGTAAATATATTATTAATGTGTGAAACTACGTTAAATATAACTATCAGCACATATAATGATAGGTGAGAGCATTTAGATCATATTGTATTGTAGCAGCCCACACCATAGAATAGATGATCAGGCAAAGTATCGGAATGTTGGCTATACATTGGATGATATCTACGTGTAGCAGCCCACACCATAGAATAAATGATCAGGCAAAGTATCAAATGTTGGCTATGCATTGGATAATATCTACTTGTAGCAGCCCACACCATAGAATAGATGATCAGGCAAAGTATCGGAATGTTGGGTATACATTGGATATTATCTACTTGTAGCAGCCCACACCATAGAATAGATGATCAGGCAAAGTATCGGAATGTTGGCTATACATTGGATAATATCTACTTGCAACAAACCTTAACTAAATGAATAAATTATGTGCATCAGTCTCATCGGCAGAATAGTAGGCCTGACCAGTTGCATCAAATATATGCTGCTCATGGGGTTCTGGTATGGACAAAGTCAAAATACTACAGTCAATATAAATTAGGTCATCAAGAAATTAATGTCGCTATTTTTTAGGTGAAAAACCCAAACAATTTATACACCAAAACAAAACATTTATTAAATGAAAGAGTCTCCATTCTTATCGATAATGCTTTTCCATCTTACAATCATGTTCTTAATGACCTGATTAAAGAAATCACTTGGCTTTGAAGCAAAAAACATGTCCATGTCCTCTTTAACACTTTCCACATTTGTATATGTTTTCCCATTAAGATGTTGCTGCAGCGAACAAAAAAATATGGTAATCTGATGGTGCTATATCTGGAGAATATGGTGGGTGAAGGAGAACATCACAACCCAACTCCATAATCTTGTGTTGCATCAAACATGCCACATGTGGAAGTGCATTGTCATGGAGAAAAAGAACACCTTTCCGACTGATGAGTGAAGG